TCGCGTCCCTATCGACTGTGGGAGATGAGGGCCTTCTCGGCGAAAGAGGGGGTGGCATATACTGCGCATCCATAGGCACCGCTAGACTAGGGATATGTATCCTCTTACGGGCTGACACCTCGTTGATATAGGATTCTCCGCCAAATATTTCCGGTAGCAAAGACTCTTGTCGAGGGGGGATCTGGACAGACTCTAGGACTTCGGTCGTATCCGGCTCGATACCGTCACTGCTGAAGAAAGAGTTGTTGGTTTCATCAAGAGGAGGATCTTCAGGTAAAGCTTTCTCCATCAGATCAGAAAAGGAATTGTCAAGGTCATGAAGGTCGGCTATTCTTTTAGAGTAGGCATTTCGAATGTCAGACAGCCTTTTTCGATCATCGAGGACCGAGCTACGGATCAAAACTTGCTGCAATAGCTCACAGGCTTCTGCATATGCCTCGATAGCTCCCTCAATGTTCTGGGCATTGTCAAGCAATACAGCAGTATTGGCTACCGCCAGAGCCTTGGAGAGCATAGTCTTTTGCGTCGGACTTCGATGACTTTTGACACGTGTGGGTATATGCGGCGGAGCGGAATCATTCATCGATCCATCGCGCACGTTCGTTGTAGGGAGGTTCTCACGGGTACTTGGTAGAGTAGCCTGTGTCATGTATTGAGTTGTAACATTCTCGGAGGATCTCATGGTGGGCTGTGGACTTGTTCTCATATAATGGACAGACACGGCGACCGCTTCCCCATTCTTGCCAGTCCTCCGACTCTGCCAGGTCTCGCCAAAGTACTCCCCAGCGCTGGGGTTAAACATGGACGTGGGAGTGAGGTGTGGCGAAACACCAACTGGATTGGTGTCTCGTAGAGCGTGAGTCCGCTCCACCTGAAGAAAAGCTGAGCCCGAACCCTGTCTCGCCTGAGGACTCTGGCTGGACGATCTCCGCTTATGCATCGAGGTTTTCCCCTGTGCGGAAGAGGACACTAGCGAGGGGCCAATGCTCATGCGTCGCGATGTGTTTGCGCGTGTACGGATCGCATCTGCCTCGATACCAGAGACACTTGAAGATGTTGAATGCGACCAGCGGTTGATATTGAGGTTCGGGCTCAGGGAATTTTCCGGGCGGCTTCGTGAACGACTTCTATCGTAACGGAATCGGCTGGTGAGCGGCATCGAGCTTTCTGGACTCCTGGGCCTGGTTCTCAGGTGAACATTTCGAGAATCTAGATGTTGCAAGCCAACAGCAGTGGATTGTTTCCTGACAGTCGGCGCCGGAGATGATGTCGAATTCGACCTCGACCGTCTGTTGTTATGGACAACAGAATCGCCAGATGTGTCCATTGCTTCTTGAGTCTAATGATTAACAGAGAGCCTTGGACTCGTCAAGTGGTGGGCTGATGTTGGTACATGAATGACGAGGGTCGGGCAAATAGCATGAGCCAGCGATCTTGGTCGCAGCGTAATTGCTGGAGAAGGCTCAGGCTACACGGCAGGGTGCAGGATCCAGATCTCCGGTGCAGATGTGCCAGCAATGCTTTGCTGCAGAATGTACCTGCAGTTGGGATCTGATTTGCCTGCAGTTGGAAAGGCGACTGGCGAATCAAGGGGATATCGGGTCTATATGCAGAGCCAGCCTAGTTTGGAATGCAAGCGCTTCGGAAGAGTTCGTGCGTGGCAGAAACTGTGTTCGCGATGCTCCCGCTCTTGACACAGACTGCGCTTCTCAAGTCAGGACAGCACTCCTCTGAAAGGAGCCAGGTCGACAGAGAAAGAGTGTGTAAGGGTGCAGGCTTGTAGACCATCAACTTGTTCCGCAACTGTGGCGACTGGAGATTCCGCTTCAGACCAGAACATGGCGGTAATCACTCAGCCATGGTATCAACAAGTCACCCGCTTCACCTGTGTCTGCTCTTTTGGCCTGTATATGGTTCCACCGACTCGTTTTGACTCCTGACGGATAGACGACGAAGACGGAGAGGAAGTCGCGACAAACGAGGACTGCTGGGAAGTCAAGCGAGGTTGGGGGCGGTGTGATGGAGGATTCTTGAAGGATTTAGTGTCTTGAGAGTAACAGAATGGAAACACAGGCGACCGAGTCGAGGTGTTGAAAGTCGGATGACGCTTTTTTGAAGAGGACTCAATGGGAGAGATGTTCGAGCAATAACCGCCTGTTCGCAAGGATCGATCGAGGAGGTCGAAGAGGGAAGGGGAGCATCCACCCTGCGATGCTGCCAGTTACGAGGAGGTCAGGGATGCGATAACGGACTGGTGGGATGCAGGCTGAGCAAGAGAGCTAGAACAGTAGCAGGGCGAGCGAAACCAACAACAAGGTATGAAACCAGAGGGGAGACTTCTTTGGTGTCTAGAGCAGCTCGTGGAAAGTAGTGGTCGTTTCTCTCTCTGAGTCTTTGCCAGATGTGTGTGAATTCATCCCTGACGGCGACTTGGGACCCCGATCTGTCCGAGTTCCAGTAGTGCATTGAGGCAGAACTCAAAATGTCCCATTCCCCATAGAACCAAGGGAGGCGGGCGCAGGCACCAAAAGGGACCGGGCCTGCGGGCACAGGCCACAGAGTGGTGGAGGTCTAACGCGCCAAACTCGTTTGGTGAGTGTCCAAGCCACCCGTGTTCGACTCCCCGAAAAGCAGCCAAAGCAGCCAAAGCACCACCCGAAAAAAAGCACTGTTTGGGCTGTTTGGCGGTGCCTTCCCCTGATTTTCATACCCACTCCACTCATTACCAGGGGTTGGGGGCTGTTTCGGGTAAGGAGCCTTGCTACTGCTATCTCCTGCCTCTCTCCTTGGGCAAATAATGGCTCTACTTCGTTCTCTAACTTCCATCATCGACTTCTAGCGCGTCTTTCGAAAGCACCACAACGGACGGGCGAGCACTTCATCAACCTCAGTTTCTCGTACGAGTTCTCGTATGAGTCCTCGTATACGGTGCGCAATCTCCAAACCTCTTCTCAGTTCTGTCACTCTCGATGCCATAGGTCAAAGCGTGGTAATCCGCCATCTCCTGTATCCAACCGAGAGCCTATCGTTCCTTGCGGGGGAATGCCCACGCCTCCCCTAGTTAATCAAGCCTGTCGCCCATCGAATTCCGTTCAGCCTATCCTTGTCCTGAAAACCTAAGAAGCCCCCCTTCTGGCCGCCCCTGGTCACCCTGCCACCTGCGCCAGCCTCTTCCGACTAGCTGCCATTACGTGACAAGGTGGTAAGGTGATGTTGCTGGGAAAGAATCGGATCCCGCATCGACCATGGGAGAACATGCCAACACAAACTGCCCCTTGTAAAAGGATCAAAGGCTATCGCCATCAACGCAGGCTAAAAGAGGTGGAATTTGTGGCCCAAAGCACTGGCGCAACGCTTGACTCAGTGGCGCAACTCGGTGTCAACGGCGTCGCTGCCATGTGCACATTTAGCAGCGGGATAACGCCTTGATATGCAGGTCCTGGTCTTGGGTTCTGTCGCACTTTTTAGCTAGTAAGGGGAAGCACAAACAATAACTCGCCATCTCAATCGGTCATGCCAACCTCGCCTCTTCATGCGCTCTCCCGTTTCGTGCCCTTGTCCTGGAAGCGAGTTACAACTTGCATGACAATTACCTCTTCTCAGAGGGCGAACAATGTTTCTGGAAGCTGTTGCCTCTAGTGCACAGAGATCCTGTTGTGCTACAAGTGTCCAAGATTCGCATGGCACACAACCGAGGGTGTGCTTGGGGTAGGAGTTCGACTGATATCCCATTGTCGTCGTGCAAACTCGCTCAATGCTACACTGCCACCAGTTGTCGAGCAGTTGAGATGCCTACGGGGTACACCCTCTCCAATCAGCTGCGATACTCGAAGCAACTGACAGCCTCACCGACTTTTTGTCTATAGGTCCTCGCACTATCTGACCTTCATGGTAGGTGCACTGGATTACTGATAATGAAGAGAAGTACCCGAACCATCAATTTCTGGTGATGTCGAACACGTCAACGCTACACACAGAAACCAAGTCTCGCAACGTATCCTGAGCGTACAGCTTCAGGCCATCGCCATCTCTGTGCGATGTCGAGCTGCGCGTAGATTTTGGTCAAACAGCCTCTACAATGGTGGGTTTAGAAAGGATTTAAAATCATCACTTCTTTCCCGATGATCTCCAGCTCGATCTTGATTCCCGCTACCGCTCGATTGTCCAGGATGTCGACGACTCGACAAGGAACCTCATGCTTTGCCACTTAATCAATACTCCTCTCTCTACCTCGCTGCTCCTCGACCCACCCCTTTACGTTGAGTCGTCTCACGGACCCAGAGCCTCACAATAACCTCCGGTTTCTCGAAAATCTCTTCTACTATTTTTGACCCTGGAAAGGGCACAGGGCCCCGTTCCTGCGATTACCCGTCTCTTTCACACCGTTCGCCGGATAGCTGTCTGCCCGATTCCTGTTATCTGGCTCCCTTCTCTGCACATTGGTAGCATCCTCCCCTACCATTCCTCTCCGTGATGTGAGTTGGTGGTGACATCCGGCCACGATGCAGGACTTGATACGGTGGGAATGCGTTGCGAACGGAAGCGAGTGCTCGAATTCGTATCAAATGAATGGACTTGTTCAAAGCGGACCAACGAACGAAAATGCCCAATGATATCTTGTGGACCTCCACCACCAGTTTAGAAAATACTGCGAACTTTCGACTTTGCACAGAGCCTGACTTGCTGTTCGGAAGGCTTACGTCCCTGGAGTTTCAAAGGGAGAAAACGATGGAACGGATCCAAGTGCCTGGAACAGCGGTAAGCTGGAAAGCAAAAGCACATAAGAACGATCGAACCCATGTCTGTGTCATGCTCAGACCCAATCTTCTGGTTCTGCTTGACCAATCCAGACTGTCGGTACTGGAGCAAAGCATTTGGACCGATATCGAGACTATCCACAGGTTTTATGACCGTCGCCTTTCCTGTTTCTAGCAGCCCTCATCACAACTATAGCCACATTCATCATCAGTTATATCTGTGTCCTCAAGAAACCTCCTACGATGCTGCTCTCGGCGTGCGTCGGATCCGTCTCCGCCATCGTTCTTTTCATCGCACCACTGCCCATTCTGGCCGCTGACCAAACGGTGGATCAAACATTGGTTGCGAATTTGAAGATGGCGGCGACCATGAGTGACCGGCTCCACATGCTTTCGGACCAGCAGCTTCTCTACAACTTTTCCTCGAACCCGGTGTATTCCTGGAAGCCGGGTAGCGTCTGTAACGCAAATGCAGCGACCTGGCCTGTGCTCTCCACCATTGGGGCGACGGTGGCGCAGCTCAATCTCGGGCCATGCGCGATGCTTGCACCACACTTGCATAGAGCCCACAACTTGGTCGTTGCAGTGAGTGGAACAACCCATACGTACATGGTGCAAGAGAATGGGGCACGGCTGGTACAGCAAGTCTTGACCCCGGGCATGATGACCATCTTTCCCCAGGCCAGTGTGCATTCTATGTACAATATGGGTGCGTCTACTCTCGTGCCAAACGACTGTGGCTTTTCCTGACGATTTCCCAGGCTGCGGAAACAATCAGCTCTACTCATTTCTCAACGACGCCGACCCAGCAACATTGAACATCGCACAGGCGTTCTTCATGATGCCGAAGGACATTGGTACGCAGGTGATGCCATTCATCAACCTCACCGGCGGGAACTGGACGGCCACAGGTCTGCGCATCCCGGCCATCGGGACGGGAAGCCAGGATGGATTCGAGGCGTGCAGGCAACGATGTGGGCTTAGCACGAAAGCCGCCCCGGATAGGTCTCTGGTGGTATAGATCCCAAGGTGATTCTTTCTGGCTTTCTCTGCTGAGATCTGCTACTTGTTGGAAATCCTTTCAGGCGTCGGCTTTGTGAACTTTTTCTCTCGCTACGGGCGGGATTTTGTACGATCAAACTTGTACGGGGTATCTTAGGGCCGAAACGATGGTCACAAGCTGAGGCTTGTGCACTGTCTCGACACTCTCGAGCACTGGCGAAGCCGGATCTGAGGCTTGCTGTTTGTCCGCTATTTGTCGATCACTTACTTAGCCGCTCCTTTCTAGTGGAAATATTCGACCAACATTGACACCATCTCTATAGATATGCACCCCTGCTTACTGTCCCCGGTATCAAGACGCCCCAAGCATATGCAGATCATATGACGCCACGCCATGACCAAAACCAAAACTCATTCTTCGTTCTGCCTCATGTCGCGTCCAAGGGAACATGATCGTCTGTGTGGTCGACAATGTCCGGGCCATAGTGTTCTGTATTTTACTCGACCTTCCAACTTTTCAAGTCCACCACACTGGCTTCCGGCGTTCTCTCTTTCGTTGGTGTCCGTGGTCCACTCGGAGTATCCGGCCTGCTCTTATCGCCGCTGGCACTCGCATGCAGACTTACATTCTCCCGGTATGCAACGTACTCGCTATCGGCATATCCCAGGACATTTCTGATCTCAGAACTTCTAAGCCGTTTGATCCTCGCGATCTCCGCGGATGAGTAGTTCACCACCGCCCTGCCGATCTCTTCTTCCCTCGATACCAACTGCATGGAGATCGAGTTAGAATTGCCCATGGGAGATAAGCTACCCAGTGGTGTCTTGTCCACGACAACCAAGCGGACGGCTTCCTGTTGAGCGAATGTCCCTTCCACATCGACGATCCCGACGGGTAACAAGCCGGCTTTATTCGCCAACGCGACGGAGGCACCGCGGTCGATGTAGAGTGTGCCGTGGGGAGCGAGGCCGTGGAGGATCCAAAATGCGCGGTTGCGGATTGGAGATGAGGACGGAAGGAAGCGTGTATGCAAAGGTGGCGGGATACTTGGTACGGAAAGCATTGTGCCAGTCTCACCATCGACCTCTACAGGTGGGTGGAGATGGCGTATAATTGCGGCAATATTCCCTGGTTTTGAAGACTTTGTGATGATCGTGCTCGTACCTGTGGCAGTCGCTAGTCGCGCGGCGACGATCTTCGTAGCCATACCACCCGTTCCCAACGCCGACCCTTGAGACGAGACATCCACCTGTAGAGCATCGATGTCGTCAACCACGAGGATTGGCTTCGCGTCGACAAACTTCCTGGGATTCCTGTCGTATAGACAGTCTACATCAGTCATCAAGAATAGATAGTCTGCATGGACCATGGCCGCGGCGATAGCAGATAAAGTGTCATTGTCGCCAAATTTGATCTCTGACACCGCCAACGTGTCGTTCTCGTTGACTATGGGTATCACCCCCATCGATAAGGTCTCGGCGAGCGTGTTCTGCGCATTGAGATATTGAGAGCGGTCGGCGATGTCATTGCGTGTGATCAGGATCTGGGCCACGGGCTGGTTCCTATGTGCAAAGAAGGAGTCCCAGATCGACATGAGGCGGGACTGACCGATAGCAGCAAGGGCCTGTTGAAGTTGACAAGACATGATTTAGCTTGTTGTTAAAATCGGCGATCTCGAGATACTGAGAGACATAATGAGAGAAATGGGCTCGTCTGCCAACCTACCTGAATTTGAGCCAGATGTTTCGGTCTCTTGGGCATATTCATCCTCTGTAGCCCGACCCCGATGGCCCCGGACGACACAAGGACGACGCGATGCCCATCTCGCCTTAAAGTGACGGCCGTCTCTACAATCTGAGCGAGAATCGAAATGATGGGTTCGTGGGTGGTCTCGTCGACAATGGAGGAAGTCCCTATCGCCAGTACTACAGTAAGCCTCGTCCTTGTTGACCTCTTCTTTTTGACGTTCCCAAATAGATAGGGCATCACCGGTAAGTAGCGTCTTTACCAATTTTAATGACGATCGTCAAATGCTTTCCAGCCCTCATTGTTTCGATTTCAAACTTTTCTGAAGATATGATAGTTGTACTTGTAGCACCACGCTGAGACTCCAAATGCCGAAGTCGGGGTGGCTCATCTTGAGTCAAAGGGAGGTACGAAAAGGAAGACTCGGGCCTACGCCCTTCAAGACAAGTACACAAGGCTGTGACAGAGATGATTCTTTTCTCCGAAAATTTTGCCAATCAGACTTTATTGACAAGGCGGATGAGCATGCAAACCTAAGAATAAGTGAGCGAGTCAGATTTGAGCTTGGCGCATGAGGGGGGAGGACCTCCAAGGTCAATCATCGCAAGTTTCCCCTTTGGTCTACAGCTTCGGTGTCACTTTGTTCTTTGAATGGGTAGTTCTGCTTCTTGTTTGTTCTCCCTCTTCTTCCAAGGCCTTAGATCAAAGCTCCCTCGTTATGGCTGACCACCCCTCCTCCACCTCGTCCTCTAGTCCTTCCCAGCAAGATGCTTCAGACTTCCTCCCCAGCAACACCTGGTGGAATCGTTCAGTAAATTTCTTCCGCATGATTACCGGGCGCATGTCTCCCGGAGGAGCGCAAAAGTACTGGGCCGATGCGGACGATCGATATAGCGCATTCGATTGCAAACGCTGCGAAGAGAGCCGGGACTATTTATTGAAATATTCGCCGATAATCCGATTCATGAATGAGAACATTCACAAATTGGGTGGTGACTTGGGACCGCATAACATCCACTGCAGAACGTGCAGAGGCGACGAGGAGGCAATGCAAGGTGGCTTTGACCATAAATACGGCATCAAGATATGTGCAAACTATGTGCAGGAACGGTCTGTCCTGGAGGATGTACTGGCACACGAGATGGTGCATGCATATGACCACCTGCGGTTCAAGACGAACTTGACCCTTGAGGATGATCTGAGACATGCGGCGTGTTCGGAGGTCAGGATCTGCCGACCTTGTAAGATATCCAAGCTAACTAGTGCACGCAGATTCGGGCAAGCAACCTCAGCGGTGAATGTCGCTGGGCCAACGAGTTCTTTCGCAACAAGATCCTCTCTTTCACGAACCATCACCAGGACTGCGTCCGACGGCGAGCGATACGGTCAGTCATGGGTCGACCGAACTGCAAAGACGACGTACAAGCAGTCAAGGTTGTCAATGAAGTGTGGGACAGCTGTTTTCGGGACACGAGACCGTTTGATGAGATATACCGGTGACATTGGCTGTGGTACTCCAACAGTTTTAACTCAAGAATCGTTCAGCAAGGCGTTGGAGGCACATATAGATCCCACTTCCATCAACCAGAAAAGGCACACAGTGCATTTAATCGACACCCAGATCCGACCAAAACTCCATTCTCCTGGGCATAAACTTAACTATATCACACTCGCGCAACGAACCATGCAGGTTGATGTTTTCATAATGTGATTGTTTTGCTCGTTGACTTTCAATCCTTCCAGCGGTTAAGGAACTTCTGCATTGCTAAGTCGGTCGGTTGACCAGCTGCAGCCACCTGGAAGAGTCAGCAGATGGTCTCTTAGAAGGTATTGAGGGGATCTTACAGGATTCTCGCGACTAGAAACGCTGAATGTCAGGGCCAAGGTGTTCGTTGTGACGGCATTTGGGGTGCCGGCAATGGTTTGGTAGACTGTATATGCGCTGGTTGGCCACAAAGGAGAAGCATTCTTCGCAGTGATCTTTGTTTGGGCCATTGGAGGCATGGGGGCATAGCGGATTGTCCCGGTCTGCATGGTGTAAGGGGTACTATAGACAGCGTCTCCGACAGATGGGTTGTTTGGACCAGCGCCCGCTTGAGGGGCTTGGACGTTGTTGACGTCGGCTGGGCCGGCAGTACCAGTAACAGTCCTCAACCCTTGCTGTACCACGGCCGGAAATGTGCCCGTCATGCTTTTGAGAGAGAAACGATCGGAGAAGTTGATGACAGTGCCTCCTGTAGCGGCGGACACGAATTTCAAGAAATAGGCGTTGGGAATATTAGCACCAGTACCCGGCTGCAAGGTAATAGTGATTGAGTTGCCCGTGGTAAAGGTTCCTTCTTCAACAAGTGTTGCGATCGGAATCTGGGCACACGCAGTCAGCCTCATATTCCCGTCTTCCACTGCTCTGTGTTCTTACGTAGGCGGACTCATCGTTACCTCCTGCACACAGGAAGAGTTGATAATTGGCGAGTTGGGAGAGAGGAGGTGAGTTGCCTGAGTCTTTCCATTGTATCTGCAGATTGAGTCCGGTGATACTGTCCCCGGGTTGGGGTGCGACGACTTGAACATCAGCACGCGTAAAAGGGATGATGGCAACCGCCAGGAGATAGATGCTCCGTAGAATCATTTCGTGGGCGAAGTTGAGGTCGGAATGGGACAGGCAAGGAGAAGAAACATGCAAAGTAAAACGCAGTAAGAATTGTGTTGTGACGAAGACGAGGATTTGGTTACCAAGGACTCCGTGTGAGCGCAGTTTACGATTTGGGACGAGGCCCAGCCCAATCCGCAAATAGCAGATGATCGTATGCAAGGCACGACACTATAAACGTCTCACTCCGACCCCGCCTATCAGCCACTGGTAATTCTTTGTTCTCAGCCGCTTTATTTGCGTCATGCGTTCGTGAGGGAGACACTGTGCCATCTTGAACGGTCCTTCTTCAATCTGCCTCGGCCAGTCTTGTTCGATATGGGCTGGTCATCTACGGATGGCTGGGCTACGAGGCTCTTGTCCGGCGATCCTGTTGTCATCCTCATCGCATTCCTGGTCACAATAACCCTGCCACTACTTGTCCACCTGTACCTCTACACCCAGACTGCTCGTGCCAGAGTCGTCCCAAGTTTCCTCCTTCTTGGTTCCAGCGGCGCAGGCAAGACTTCTCTGGTCTCTTTGGTGAGATTCTGCCCGGTCGGGCTCTTGTCAACCTACTTGACTAACAGGATGTCCAGCTACAAAAACGATCCTCCAAACAAGAAGATTCCCAAGCAGAAGCAGCACTCACCCGCACTTCCCAAGTATCCTCCTCCGTCAGCTTACTACTTCCGCCTTCCGTCCCCTTGGGGTCCAACAAATATCGCTCCGATAATGATGTCAGCCTGAAAGACAAACAATCGACACCATATGTAATGATCGATACCCCCGGCCATGGAAAGCTCAGGTCGGACCAGGCCTTATCACACATCCAGAATCCTGCCCTCCGCGGGGTCATATTTGTGGTTGACTCAAGTGTTCTGGACACTAGTGACTCTTCCACATCTCGTGACACTGCTGTATACCTCCACGATACACTACTGGTCCTTCAGAGACGAAAAACTCGAGGCAAAAACAAGATCGCACTACCCGTCCTCATCGCGGCCAATAAGCAGGATTTATTCACCGCATTACCGACAGGTGCGGTCAAGGAACGCCTACAGGCCGAGATTGAACGGGTACGTGTTTCCAGAAGCAAAGGTCTCGGTACTGTGGGCCAAGACGTAGATACCGATGCAGAGGAAGACATTCTAGGTGGTGGTGGCGAAGACAAGTTCAGTTTTGAATTGATGGCGGAAGAGTATGACATTAAGATAGACGTCTTGGGAGGAGCAGTCAGAGGAGAAGAAGCGGGCAAAGGAGTAAGGAGGTGGGAGGAGTGGATAGGCGGTTGTCTCTAATGATTCAGACAATGCCACGACTTAATACATCCTACGGAGATTCTTGATAGCGATGATGGTATCTCATTTCGTCTTGTACTTCCAGACCAGGACCATTGAACTCGTCCTGTGTCAGAATACTGCCAACCCCCTCTTTCAGATAAAGCAGCAGGCGATACGCGCTGTTGCCGTTCATGTAGTACCTATGCAGCTTCTTGCTCCTCAAGAACCCCAGTCGCTCGTACAACTTCATGGCCGCTGTATTGGTCTCCTCGGTCTCCAACGCGATCTCGTCTGCGTCTTTCTCAATCATCAAATCCATCGCTTTGCTGACAAGCGTTGTGGCGATGCCCTTGCCCCGAAACTTGTCCTTCGTGGCCAGCATGGCGATGTATCCTCTCAATGGTCCTCCTCGATGTGGCTCTAGTTTACAGATCACCACTCCGGCGAGTCTGTTGTCATCGTTGGCGTCAACGGCCATGAAACAGAGTTCAGGCCACTGGTAGAGGAAGTACCGGTAGACATAGATACTGTAGGGTTCAGAGAGGTCTTTGGAGATCAGTTCGCGAATCTGAGGAAGGTATTCGGCTTCCTTCTCTAGTGAGTATTGTAGGTAGTGGATGTCGGCAGGAGTTGTTTGGAAGTGCGCACTGGCAGAGACCGCGCTGACTTTGCTGCCGCTGAGCGACTCGACAGCAGCAGCGGCATTGCCGCTCATGGTATTCTGGCTTCTAAGGTGTGGTCAAGAATGCCATATTGGAGGTGGAAAGCGAATCGCATGGAGAAGATTTGTTCCTGAAGATCTCTCGCCCTAGAAAACGCCGATGACGAAACATGTGAGAGGGCCAGGCCAGGATGATTTAATTGCACACTCAGCAGCAACCCATACCCCGAAGAATCCGCGCCCACCCCTGGAATATTATACTATCGCGTGCCTCCATGCAAGTCCACTGCTTGCTCGAGGCGCTGTACTTTCAAACATGTCCTCTCTCCGCCGCCGCATTGCCAACATCATCAACGAGTCACCTACACCCTCCCCCGAACCTAGTCGCGATGGTACGCCAGATCCCAACGAAGAGGTCAAGCTGGTCTCCAGTAAGAAGCTGGAACAACTCAAGAAGAGGAGACACAGTAAAAGAAGATCCGGCATCACATTTGGACTGGGCGGCTTGCTAGGCTTATTGTTGGCTTTACTGTTTGCTCAGTCGCAAGATGTTATCAAATTAGAAGGATTGCTGGAGGTCAATTTAGACAGTCTGCTGGATGTCATTCCTATAGGCATAGTGAATGATGTGAAGGACCTCTCGAGAGCTGAACGGGATGTCGTCAACTATGACTCGTTCTCCGTTGGTCTCCATCTGCTCTCCCAGGGAGTGAAAGCCCACCATCCCGTCATTATGGTGCCTGGAGTGATATCTACGGGACTGGAGTCCTGGTCCACGGGCGAAAAGTCCAGGCAGTACTTTCGGAAGCGGCTGTGGGGTTCATGGTCCATGATGAGAGCTCTCGTCATGGACCAAGCTGCCTGGAAGAAGCACATCATGCTGGACAAAGAGACAGGACTTGATCCTCCAGACATCAAGCTACGAGCAGCGCAAGGCTTTGATGCCACCGATTTCTTCATTACCGGGTATTGGATTTGGAACAAAATTCTGGAAAATCTCGCCACCATCGGATATGATCCGACAAATGCTTTCACGGCTGCTTATGACTGGCGCCTGTCCTATGCCAACCTGGAGCGCAGGGATCAATACTTCACGCGGCTTAAGAACTACATCGAGGTGGCACAAATGACAACTGGTAAGAAGGCAGTCCTCGTCTCGCATTCTATGGGCAGCCAAGTTCTTTTCTACTTTATGAAGTGGGTAGAACACAAGGATCATGGTAAAGGAGGCTCCCGGTGGGTTAACAAACATATCGACTCATGGATCAACATCTCTGGTTGCATGCTCGGAACAGCAAAAGACATTCCAGCAGTACTTTCCGGCGAGATGAAAGACACTGCTCAACTCAATGCCTTTGCTGTCTACGGTCTGGAGAAGTTCTTATCCAAGGAAGACCGCGCAGAGATCTTCCGCGCCATGCCTGGTATATCGTCGATGCTGCCCAAAGGCGGTGATGCGGTATGGGGCAATGCTACGTGGGCTCCAGACGATTTGCCGCCTCCAATACAGAACAAGACGCACGGAACATTCATCTCGTTCAAGCCGCGTGGCAATCTTACGGAGCCCGTGCGCAAGAATCTCACAATGACACAAGCCTTTGACTATCTTATGCATATAGCAGAGCCTTGGTATGCGGAGCAAATCAAGCACTCGTATTCTCATGGCATCGCCCATACGAAAGCCGAAGTCGAACAAAACGAAAACAACCCTCTTACCTGGGTGAATCCCCTAGAGTCTCGACTTCCATATGCGCCTGACATGAAAATCTACTGCTTCTATGGTATCGGCAAGCCTACTGAGCGCTCATACTTCTACAAGGAGCACGGCCACTCACTGAACGGGTACATCAACGTCTCCATCGATACCAGTGTTAATTCTCCCAATGGCCGTCTCCAGCAGGCCGGCAGCGTTGACCATGGGGTCGTCTTTGGTGAAGGTGACGGTACTGTCAACCTCCTTTCCACCGGATACATGTGCGCAAAAGGGTGGCGAGAAATCAAAAGGTATAATCCTGCAAACATCAAAATCACGACCTTTGAGATGCCGCACGAGCCAGATCGGTTCAGCCCTCGTGGCGGACCGAATACAGGCGACCACGTCGATATCCTGGGTAGAAGTAGCTTGAACGACTTGATCCTCCGAGTTGCAGGGGGAAAGGGTGAGCAGATTGAGGAGAGCTATGAGAGCAGGATCTGGGAGATCAGTGAGAAGGTGAAGATCTATAATGAGGAATGAACCTAATGATGGAAGCTGGAAACTGTACACTAAGGCAATTGGGCGTTCTTGTTGTTGCATGGTGAAGCTTCGGGCGCCGTGGATTGTGCACCTGTGTGTCTCTTTCGAGTGGCACAATAGCACGGTCCCTTCAGGTGAGAATACCCCCCAGTATAGACGGATTGAGAATTACGAATCAAAGTAGAATTGTACGAGTAAAATTACTGCGAAGAACAGACCCATCCGAATTAGGGAGTTATCACATGCCATGTGGGAGTGGCTTGTTTTGCCATGCTGGGGCCATCGCTCTGCTCTCCAATGAAGCAGAGATTATCGGTCGAAGCCACAGGAGCCACAGTTCAGCTGTGGCGCATAAGCCTCTCATCCTTCTTGCCAAGGACGACTACACTCAGATTCGCCCCCTCAAGGTGCATAAGGAGGGCTCACAGGTGATCGACAAAGGGGACGACCCCCAGGGGCCAGAACGCACCGAAGGATTGTGGTGCGAAACCTCATTTCTGTGTAGCATATCAAGGGCCAAAATCTTCACACCACGTTTCAGACGAACGTTGCGCCCCCAGTCTACACCGAACCTGTTTACCCACACAAAAGAACCTATATCACGCAGGCCACTGCTGTTGACACGAAGACTCTGGGCCACGTTCCTGACACCACGTCTATCTCCTCTTCACAATGGCCAAAGCAGGCAACCTCATCGCCCTCATCATCCTGATTGTCCTCGTTGCCGTTGTCGCAGCCATCGGATTTGTGGCCTACTCGATCGCTCATGATGTCGGACACAAGACGCGGCAGAAACTGGAAAGGAAGAACGTTTCATTCAGTCGTGACGGGATGAAAGTCGGGGTGAAAGAAGTGACACGGGAACAACAGGAGGATGCGGCGCAGAGGTAGGCACGAACACATGCGCTCGAGAATTTGTCTTCGGAAGTGCAAGAGAGGACTGACCTGGGAATTCCAACGCAGTGTTTTGACAAAAGTCTGGAACAACTCGTCTCAATCTCCGGCGCTAGGATCGGGACAGGGAAGCAAGACGCCTTCGGGGACGCCTGGAGCGGAGAAGAGGAACCCGTACGTGTGAATTGTTCTTCATTAATGTTCAGTGGCGCCACCTCGGTCAAACAAGAGCATGTGAAATATCAGGAAGCAATGCTGACTTGTCGATGGGCAGGTTTTCGCGCTCATCGTCTTCAGCGCAGTCGGTTCCTAGTCTCTCGCGACACGGGTCAAACCAGAACAACCTGTCTCGCACAACATCGGCGCAGACTCCGCTGTCACGGACCACCTCCTCGCAAAGCAGATCGTAAGAAGTCTCATTATTGAGCATCTCGAGAAGAAGGAGTTATTTTCTGGCAATCCTCTTCGCCGTCGGCGCAAGAGCCGTGAACGTGGAATGGTTTGGCGAGGAACATATGCACAGCAGACTCAGTTCAGATGCCAGACAGAATGGCTGCCAGGAATTGAACCAAAGATGTATGAGGACGACATGATTCAACGGAAGTACAGATGGACGCTTTCGATCAGATCTCAAGAGCCACAGTACATGGCGCGATGGATGCGCAAATGCTCCACAAGCCAATCTGCCTAGATGGCCATGAACCAAAAGGGCAAGATAGCATTTTCTATCCCAATTCAAGGGAACGAGAAATGACACTGCTAAACTGTCATCCTGTTTCAAGCGACCCATTCGTCGCAACGCTTCTGTAAGATGCTTGATAATTCCTGCACCAATATCCGGATACGGAGCATTGACCAACTTCTCGATACTATGTCACTGTGTCCACTGTTCAGGCTGCCGATGGCCCGTGCCCATACCTTGCAACAAGCACATCGTGATTACTCCGCAAATGGGGGTGACTTGGGAGTGTCAGCGATGCTCGGTCAGGGTCTTTGCGCATCGGCCGAAGCAACGACAACATGGGCGTCAAACTAGCCTATCGCAGCGCAACGCAAAGAAATTTCTACGTGTATGCAAGTTGACCTCGTAAAAACATCTCTTGATTGGTCGTTATTTTCAGCTCTCGCTCCCTCGTGCATTCTGCAGGCTCGGCTGTGGCCGGAAAGGCAAGCTCTTTGTGAAACTGCATTTTTTTTATTATGCACCAGTATCTCACGTGCGTTGTGTCGTGGGGAGTGGACTGGGTAATTTCGATGGTGAGGTCAGGTCTCGGTATACTGGTATGATCTTATCTGTGTCGATCACATTGGTTGTTGAGCAGACAACGCTCTCTTTCGATTGCGGAAAGGGGAAATTGGAGGGGGAGAAGGGTGAAGGCCCCAGAAATACGAGGATGGATGGTCTGACAAGGCGTTGACTGAGGGGACACCAGGGCTTTTGCTGAAAATGACAGAATGACCAGACACACAAGAATTTTCACACTGGGGGGGAGATTGCCATTAATCACGCGGGTACCCATCGCTCATCCCGGGGCGGTCGCCTCCAATGCTCAATGCTTACAAGTAATGCTTAATGCACAAATCATCCCCGGTCCCGCGCTCCAGCTTCGTGTTCGGGTTACACCTTGTTCCCAGGCCCTCTTCTTGATAGTGTGCTTGTCCTAGCCAGAGTAAATTAGCATTCAGGACAGATAGGAAACCACAGTATATAGGGTACTCCATTGAGTCTTGTCGTCATGACTGCTATCACATGTGAGTTTACATCACTGCAACCAAGCTGTCGGTGAACTTTGGCAGCTCATAGTGACGTCGAGGAATGCAGTAGAGGGATTTTTTTCTCATAGGCATTGATCGCGAAAGGGGCGCAAACTCTGCGCTTTAGGCGGCGGAGAGCGGGTGTGGTGGAGCTGGACATCCCCGAAAAGCCACCAGTTGGGCGCAAGAGTCTCTCACAAAAAGAGCCCCGAAGGCCCCGAAGGCGAGCGACAAGGCCTGAGCCACTTTAGACTCGCCTACCAGGACGGCTTGGGCTTAGGGCGTATTTTCCTTGGGCCGGCCTGATCGTATCCATTTGCGTGCCTATCCACCTTTTGACCTTCTCGACTGGGCGATACAAGCGACAGAGAGGCCGGCATTCTGTGGAAGAGCGAACCGCGAGCCCGTTGCTCATCTGGGCTGCTTCCTTTTCGCACCAAGTCGATCCGCAGACATCCACATCGTCTCTATCTTCCTCCAGTGCTCACCTAAGCCCTCAACCACTGCCATACTCTCGTACCTCTTTGACTGATTTCCATATCTTCTTTCTTCTTCCCCTTCTGATCATCATTCTTCCGGCCTCCTCGGATCCTCTGCTCGACCCTCTCCGCGTTCTACCCTCGTTGTCTCGAATCTCTACCCCTCGCCGTCGCCTCGAGACTCTTCTACCGCAACGCCAAAGTCCAAATTTCGCGCACGAGACTCGCTCGCCCAGCCTGCCCTGACTTCACTTCCCACTAGGCACCCGACACAGGTGCAATGCAAGCTTCCCTGCCGTCCTGGAAGGACGCAGAAAAGAAGCAGATTCAAATACAGATCCCATGGAAATCCCTACAGCTTCTCGTCCCTCACAGGCTGCGGCGCAGGCTGAGATCCAAGCTCCGCAACCGATCGTCACCTGCATCCACGCTCGCCTCCCTCAAGACTTCGTTCTCTCCTGCCGACACATTACGGTCACTACAGAATCATAGATGGTCGATTTATGACGGGCAATGGCTGTTTCTCGCGGTGGTGGGCATTTTTTCGCTGAGCATCATTGAGTACCCGGGTCCTTTGGTCAAGACGGCGGTCGCTACACTCCTCCTCGCCTCATTCATATTTCCCGTTACTCGACAATTCTTCCGACCCTTTACACCTATTGCCGCATACCTCATTTTCTTCTATGCCTGCAGGTAAGTTTGTTCGTGTGTTTTGGCGAAAATCGCCTTGTTCTGCCCCCAATCTCCCATTCAGTGAAGAAAATACTAAGTGTTGATTTTCCACACGCACAGATTCATCCCGGCTTCCTGGCGACCTCCCATCTGGGTCAAAGTCCTCCCCGCGCTCGAAAACATTCTTTATGGTGCCAACCTCAGCAATATCCTCTCCGCCCACAAGAATACGGCCCTGGATCTCATGGCTTGGTTCCCCTATGGACTGGGTCACTTTGGTGGTCCTTTCGTGGTTGCCGCCATTATTTTCGTCTTTGGTCCACCCACGACTCTTCCAGTCTTTGGATTCAGCTTTGGGTACATGAATCTCGCCGGAGTCATCATCCAGGTCCTATTTCCATGTTCCGCTCCGTGGTACGAGAACATGTACGGCCTGGCACCAGCCAACTACTCCATGCAAGGCTCGCCCGCCGGTCTAGCTCGTATTGATGCATTGCTCGGAATCGATATGTATACCTCGGGATTTACCGCCTCTCCAATGGTCTTTGGTGCCTTTCCGTCACTGCATGCAGCGACCGCCACTCTCGAGGCGCTGTTCATGAGCCACATCTTTCCCCGATACACCCCGCTGTGGGCGTTTTACGCGGCTTGGCTGTGGTGGTCAACCATGTATCTCTCGCATCATTACGCTGTGGATCTGGTAGCTGGGAGCCTGATGGCAGGTGTCATCTTCTACTTCGCAAAGGCTAAGTTCCTGCCGAGACTTCAGCCTGACAAGCGGTACCGATGGGACTACGACTACGTCGAGATCGGTGAAGTCCAGAACGACTATAGCTATGGCATTGCTGGCCTCGATGGCAGCAGCCCCGACAGCGACGAGTGGACCATCGGCTCCTCGTCCTCGATTTCTTCCGGTTCGTTGAGCCCGACCGAGGAGAGCCCCAAGCCTTGGACGGACGCATATTCGAATTACGAAAGATGACATGGTTACACCATTTGATATGAACCCTCCAAGGCTTCTATGAACTCTACAGTACCTTTAACCTGGCGTTTCTGTTACGAATCAAAGACGCATACGGATCAGGAACCTTGCATATGAGCGCTCAATTTTTCTGGATTTCTGCACATAGAACAGCCTCTACTGTAATACAACGACCACTGCGACTACCCCTTTCCCCGACCAGACCACTTCTCAAGGACCTCGCCGAACCCTGTCCTATTTGCTCCGGACACGGTTTATGAGGCTGGCTTGGCGTGGAGTTACACGTGGGGACCCCCCCAGTCGCCAGCACGAGGTTTTTCTTTTTGGACTGGGACGTGGTTGGGGTTGTGAATTGGGAAGGCTTTGCAACGCAGAACCGGCCTGCTATCACCCCACGGTTTTGGCGTTTTTGCTGGACTCCAGCATATTCTGATTTCACACTGGCGTTTAATCTTGGAATGTTTGAGCGATGTGGCTTCCAGCAGCCTGTTTGTCGTCCAGCGGCTACTGTTTACCGTCTGGATGAATGCATTACACTCGCTTTGCACACCCTTTTTGTACAATAAAGATATCGAGATACGACCGATATGCCATTCGCTTGGTCCAACACGGGATACGGGGAAGGAAGACGGGGGAAGGAAGACGGGGGAAGGAAGACGGGGGAAGGAAGACGGGGGAAGGAAGACGGGGGAAGGAAGACGGGGGAAGGAAGAAGGAGGAAGGATCGGAGTCTACATTCGCTTCTAGAACGCGTTCGGATAATGAGTTTGAATGAGCTGTGAGAATTAGGAGCTGGTCAGAGACATGGTTGGTCACGAAATGTCTGCAGGGCGAAATCCATATCAAAATCACGGATGATCCTGGAAATGGACATACAGCCAACCATTGCGACAAGACACCAGAAGAGAACAACCTTTGAACATCAGCCATCCATGTCCATGTCCGTCAGCAACATTCGGCTCTACAACAGCCCCAGCCACGTTCACACATGGTTGAGACCCCATGCCTGCAACATCGCCCCCAACAGGCCTGCATGGTTGTGGGTTGACGATCACAGCGGCTCGATGCATTGACGGAAGCTGCTTGGTCGAGTGATGAGATGTTGTGTAACGGCATTGACATATGCCTGGATTAGGTTGATGAGATGCTCCAGGGACTGGAATCCCACGAGGCGCAAGGCAACCCGAAAATTTAATCTAGTAATTTAATGCCTAATAAAGAAGAGGACCGCGAAGGTCCCTTTTCCAACAACTGTACCTTCTCCCCACCTTCTCTTTGTCTCGGTCGAATATGCCACCAAGAGCAGAGGATGGGTGAATTGGGATCTTGTGCACGGATGGTTCGGCCCCGTGGGTGATGGATGGGGTTTTGAGGCGCAGAGTGTTTCATGTCTTTCGCATGTAAGCATGGCTGGCATGGGTAGGCCCCAGTAGGGTATCAGAGGTGCATGGACTACCTGGGCCGGCGGGAGGGTGGATGCAAGTCCCTATCATCAGATGGAAGGACCTCGATAACCACTAAT